CTCGTTCTGGGTCTCATATCATCTGGGTTCCCCGCGCACTCTTAACACACTGTGCTCTTTTTGGAGTGAAAAGTGTTCCACCTCAGCAGGTCCACCCCCTAACCTGAGTCTGTCTACTGAATCTTTCATCACGAGAAGGCTTTCTCTTTCTTTCTCACACACACAGAGACACACTCACAAGTGCACGCCAACAAACTTGTTGAATCATTAATGAAATAGAAATTCCATAGGTCTGCTGGTGACCTACAGGAAAGTGAGACCTGCTCTCCTTTTTCTCCCTCCCTCCTGACAAATACTGTATATATATATATCCATCATATATCCTGTATCACGTACCCACAAACACGCATGTAGACCCTGCAGTGTTAGAGAGAGAGTGATGAGTGGGCTCAAGCTGTTAAATCTTTTATAGGCAGGTGAGAGAATCTTATCTGACACGCTACGTCTGACCTCCTCCCTGTCCTCTGCTTTCTTTTTCTCGTTCCTTCCCGGTCCTCCCCCATTCCCTTTTGTAAATAGACTCTTTCATTTTGTTCTGTCCTCTTGTGTGGTAAAAACCCATCAGTGAACGGATGTTTTGTTAAAATGACACAGAGCGTGTGTTTGTGTGTCCTTGTTCCTCTAGAACCCAGACATTGTGTTGGTGCACTACCTGAATGTACCGGCAGTGGACGACAGCGGGAAGCCATGCGGTCCTGTCCTCTGCTCCATCAACACAGACAGGAAGGAGTGGGCCAAGTGGAGCAAGGAGGAGCTCATTGGTCAGCTGAAACCCATGTGTGAGTTATCTCTTACTTGAGCACTCGCTCTCTTCTCTGTCAGCCTTCACACATTTCTTCAAGCTGGGAATTCAAGTCACCTTGGGACTGGAGTGGTAACGAGTCCCCCCAGGCCTCATTGCAAGGTGGTCACAGCAGGGTCGGACTGATAATGCCATATCATTAAACTCCACTTGCTACGGTTTTTTCCCCTGAAGTGAATTATACAGTTTTGTGTGTGTGTTCATAATTGGCACACATACTGAAGGGCTTCCGAAGATGACATTTTTTAAAACACAAAACAATTTACTTGTTTTTTCTTATTGCCTGCCTTTTGTCTTTTGGTTGGGATAATATCTGCCTGTGTGCGTGCATGTCTGTTAGCAAAATATTTCAAGAGCCACTGGATGAATATTATTATTTATTTATTTAAACTTTATTTATACAGGTAGTCTCAATGAGTCGCAAGGACTCATTTTCAAGAGAGACCTGTTTTTTGGAACCATCAGAAACTAGTTGTAGGATGTACATCTACAACTGATTAACTTTTGTAGGGAACTCAATTCAAAATGGCTGCCACAGCCAGCTTAACTAAAAAAAAAAAAACACAAAAATTGCTACAACTCAGTTTAACTGAAAAAAAAAATCACTGTTATGCAACTTTGTTGATATGTGTTGCTAATTATCCATGCTGCTGATTATTTCATTCTGTTGTATTCATTCATTCGTACTCATCCACCCACAAAGACTCATGTTCGTGCTGCTGTTGTTCGGTGTATTGTTTTGCACTGTTAGTGACTAGCATATATCTTAGATCTTTTAGCGTACCGTTTGGCGTTCATTTAGCGCTAGAGCTGTCATTTCTAACCCGTTGCGCCCGGCCCAGCTCAACCTGAAATTCGGGCCGGGCCAAAATAATGTGACGGATGGGCAAGCCAGGTCAGTGTCGGGCTTTTGATTGCGTCAGGAACGCGCGCGGCTGATGATCCAATTTGGATCACCAGCTGTGACCGGCCACTTGAAAGAGGTAAAAAAAAAAAAGTTGAGTTAAGCTTCAGATAGACCACTGCCATCACTCCATCCGAAGCCCAACTGGACTCAGCCGTTGCGTCAGCGAACGCGCACGGTCGAGCCCGGCTGGTTGAAAGAGGTAAAAAAAATGTCCAGATGGATCACTGCCAGAGAACCACCTGAAGCTTAACTGGACTCAGCCGCTGTGTCAGCGGATGCACGCGGCCGTCAACCCAATTTGGATCATCAGCCGCGCACGTCCACCAGCCGTTAATAACTATAATATTATAATAACTATAATATTATAATAACTATAATAATCTGCTGACTCTTGTTAATAAACAAGAAATCTTATATCTTCCTTTCGTTGAAATACATTTTTAATTATGTCAAACTGATTTGCTTACAAAAGCATCCATTCATCCATTATCTTTACCCGCTTATTCCATTTTGGGTCACGGGGGTCGCTGGTGCCCATGTCCAGCAATGACTGTGCGAGGGGCGGGGGACACCCTGGACGGGTCGCAAGTCCATCACAGGGACACATAGAGACAAACAACCATTCAGTCTCTCACTCACACCTAGGGACAATTTAGAGTTACCAATCAGCCTAACATACATGTTTTTGGTCTGTGGGAGGAAACCGGAGTACCCGGAGGAAACCCACGCATGCACGAAGAGAACATGCAAACTCCACCCAGAAAGGCCCCTGGACCGAGGTTTGAACCAAGGACCTGCTCGCTGAGAGGCAGCAGCTCTACCAGTTGCGCCACCATGCTGCCCTTACAAAAGCAGTAAAAGCTTAATTTAAAAAAAAAAAAAAAGTTTTTTTTTTTCGGGTTCGTTCCTGTAACCACAGTTAATTAGTCGGTTTCGGGTCGGGCTCAGAAAAAATTATATGGGTTCAAGCCAGGCCGGGTCAGATTTTTTAGGCCTGAATGCAACTACCGCATATCTTAGTTCCTTATTTACTGTTTCTTTTTATACTTCATATTTTTGCTATTGTTGGATGTAACTGGGACTCTGTGTACACTGTTTCGTTCCACCTCATGTACCACATGTGATGCAAATGACAATAAAGAACCTTGACCTTGAGATACAGACTTACTGTAAACTTTGATGTGGTAGTATCTGAGAGTGATCCTCGCACATAGTTTGAGAAGGCAATTGTTTAAATTGTTTGCCATTAACTATTTGAAGCCAACTCGGTCTGTCTGTTAGCAACATGTCTCCCAAATCACTGGATGGATTTTAACAAAAATTTTCCAGAGCATCTACAGATGAACCCAATTGAAGTTGGCCTCTACATGTAACTGACAATAGCCAGCACAAAAACTGGCTCTACCTCAGTAATTTTGACAGATACTGAACTGACATTTTAAGTGGTAGTAGCTGAGTCATCCCGGACACACTCACTGAGAATGATGTCCCACAACATTATTTATAATGTTATGATCCAAACAGCGTCCTCTCTAATTTCTCAACATTGTCTTGGTCTAAAACGTTGTCATCAAAGGCAGCATGCAATATGCATTCCTTCATAGATTGATGGGTTTTTAATTCTAATTTAGAAATGCAGCAGATTTGAATCAGTAAACAGTTTATATACAACAGCTAAGTAATATTTGTTAAACAATTATGATTGAATAAGCTTGGTTTGTAAATAAATACCATTACGTTAATAATGAAACAATGAAGCAGATAATTTAACTCACAGCACAATAATTACTTATATCTTAATAAAAGAGATTAGCTACCTCTGGTTATGTAATGAGTTCTGAACTGGCTGCAGCAACATCTAGAAATTAAAGTGAGCGATAGAGAGAATTATTCAGACTGTTGTGCCTAAATGTTAATTCATTCAACCTTTATTTATACAGGATAGTCTCATTGAGTCACGAGGACTCCTTTTCAAGAGAGACCTGTCTAGACAGATAACATATAAAGTACAGACAACAATAATTCAACAAAAATAAATTAAAATCAAATACAAGAAGAAGTGCATAGTTAATAATAATAATAATTGCATAATGCATAGTTTGAATGAATAGTATACATGTTTGCTTTGATCAGAAATATACCATGCAGTGTAGCTCACTATGTTTACTTGTAAACTGTACTTGACACTTTAACTTCTCTTTTTTTTTATCAGACCTTCCGCCTCCACTTTACAACTTTTTACATCACTACATACTGTATGTCTCAATAGCTTCAATGACTTGTTATTTTACAAAAAATATATTATTTACATAAATCTGAAACTATGCAAATTGATGTTTTTGCCAATTGCTAAATCACCGCTCAGTTTAATGCGAGTTGATATGAAACGATTAGTCACAATAATCAATTAGATGACTGACAGAAAATTAATTGGCAAATATTTTGCTAATTGTTTGACTCATTTTTCATGTAAAATTATTTTATGGTTGCAGGCTCACAGATGGTAGGAGTTTAGTGTTATTGCTTATAATTTCTTTAGTCACTTTAATGTATTTTTTGCAAACTTTTAAAGCGTAAACAGTTGGTCTGTGTGAACACAAGGAAAGTGTTGCTTCAGATAATTCAAACTGTAGTTACCATATTTTTCGGACTATAAGGTGCACCAGATTATAAGGTGCAATATCAATGAATGGGTCTGTTTTCATACGTAAGGTGCACCGGATTATAAGGCGCATTAAGCGAAACTAAAACATTTTCACAGATTTTTGAGCGTTGTGTACCATTTAAAATTGGTTTGAGGTCATTAAGCACAACCAGAATTAATACATAGATTATTACCAGCTTACTGTTGATTTTTGAGAAAATTAAAGGATTTTAAGTGCACCTTATAGTCTGAAAAATACCCTATTTTTGGCAATGTTGCAGATCAAAATGTCACTTGAGTTACTGGGAAACAACTGTCCAGCAGATTATATCTTGAAAATATTTATTGGTTGAAAGAGAATATACAAGAGATCCTTCCTGCCCACAGTTATCAGCATCTGTAACAACAGCAATTTATGCAAAAAGAGAAAAGCTGTCTCTTAACAGAGGAGGAGGCCTCAGATTTCCACTTTCAAAAACCTATAATGCAACTTTAAAACAGATTCCCAGCCGGTTTTCACACTTGATGGGAACAGAGGGGCCTCGTCTGTGAATTAGAGGAACAAAGACCTTAAGAAACCCCTACTGTTAAGGTGTTGAGGTGTGAATTGTCAATCTACATATGTGTGTGTGTCTTATCTCACTCGTTCTTATAACCTGAATTTCTCATTCTCTGCTCTTTGAATTGAGAAAGCTCCTCGGATGAGGAGCGAAACGTCTTCAGTTACAAATGAAGTCCAGTTGTTTTTGTATTAAACCCTTTTTGAATTCTTGTAAGGACATTTTCTAGATTTACATAAAATACATTGTATCTGTAAGACATGTAACAACGTCTTGATGTAAATGGGCCTGCCAGTTTTCAAAATGAGTGAGTAAAAGCTTCACAGATAAAATTCAAACACTGATCGTTTGGATCAATGTTTGATTTTAACATTTCTCAACATTTTTTAAACTCAACAGAAAATATAATGCTTCAAATGTAATCCATACAATGACCAATATGTTTATATATCAATTCAAAAATAATCACTAAGCCAAAGGGAAAACTGTAAAGAAATTCCAATTTGTCATAATGTGTTTTAATTGGCTTTATAATAATAAATAATTTTGGAGTAAAAATTAATGAATGAAAATTATAAAATATTATATAATCACAGCATGACATAACAGTGAAACAACAATGAAAACATATTCAAATACTCCACAGTCACTATGCCTATATTAAAGAATTTATGCAGGCCTTTATCAGATATTCTGTGTGAATGTTTTTTGACGTTCCCAGCAGTCAGTACCATGCTGCCACCTAGAGGTAGAAACAAATTGTATCAAGACAGACAGAAAGACCACTGAAAATCCAGACGTATTAATTATACATCAGCATTGGGGAGTAAATAACTCCAAAACAGAATTATGTAATCTCCCCCATCTTTTGATTGTGTCTGGAAGGGCAAACAAGGACATTTTATTTACTATGTGACTTGCTGACATAACTATTATTTAATGTCTGACTTACGTATGTGCCAAGTTATTCACACACCTTTCTGATTTTTTTTTCTTCTGCTACTTATGACTTGATTACTGTTGTTTTAGTTGCTGGTGGCAGACATTACCTCTGGACATAAATCTACTAAATTCTCAACACCTGAATGAAAAGAGCTCCTAAAAAAATACTGTAAATTGTAGAAGTCTTGAATGGGCATTTAAAGTATTTTAAAGATTATGAGTTTGTACCAGTGTTTCAAAGAACTTGTGAACTAATTTCAATGTAAATTTTGAACACTGGAGGGTGCTGTTACATGCTGTGAAATGCAAATGAGGTAGCGCTATTACACCAAAACTCTGGTCTGCAAAAGTAAATGGATAGGATTAAAAAAATCAGTGTGCACTCTTGTAAATGCTGTTTTCTTTGTTTTGACGTCTCGTTTGCCAGGTGCTGGAAGCAGCCTGCATCAAAAATGTTCCAGCGTCAAGCAGCGTATCATCTCATCCAAGCAGGAGTCAGGAGGCGCAGCAGGAGGTGGAACGGCTATAGGGACGGGCGTAACAGCGGGCCAGAGAGCTGAGGAAGCAGATGGCACAGAGGTCCAGAACAGTGATGTATCGGAGGGCCAGACCGAACCCAATCCTGGTGGGGGGAGGAGCAGAGTTGGCGGAGGAGAGAGGAGGAACGGCAGGATAACCAAACCTTCCTTACTCCCACAGAGCAGCATGGAAGTGTCGTCTTCTACCTCCACCAACCAGGTGGAGGTGCCTGACACCACCCAGAGCTCCCCGCTGTCAATCGCGAGTGACATGGCTGACAGTCCTGCCCTCGCCATTGGAGCTGGTTTATCACAGAGCACTGCAGTGTTTATGTCTGAAGTTACCACACTGACTGGGGATTCGGTATACTCCGCTGGCCACACCCACCTGCTGGCGTCCACCCATGAGAGTACCACAACTGGTATTCTGCTAGCTGTTGCCCCTGACAACCAGAGGTTTGCGTCATTTCCTGGAGGGGTAGGCTTAGGGGAGGGAGGAGAGTTGGTTCTTTCCAGTTCTCTGGACTCTGGTGTTGGTGTCAGCCTTCCTGAGACTGCCATGACCTTTGACCCTGATTGCTTCCTCAACAATCCCAAGCAGGGCCAGACATATGGAGGTGGTGGGAAGACAGAGGGTTGTAACGGTGATGATGGAGGACTCCATTGCCCCTCTAACGGCTTTGTTTACAACCCAAGTCTGGTCAACAACATCAAGACAGAAGCTACACCTCTGGAGCAGCCGCTGTCCACCCAGAGCAGCTACGTGGGCGAAGGAACTGGCCTCAGCCCCAGCACCACCCTGGAACAGATGGACTTTAGTGCTGTCATGTCATCAACCTGTGTCACAAGTCTGACCCAGCCTGCACACCATTCTTCCCCGAGCATCTTCCTCCAGGCTTCCCCCCAGACAAGCCAGTCCTCTCAGCTGCAGACCAATGGCACAAAAGCAACCCAGGAATCTGGTGAGGCACAGGGTTACATGAGCATGCCCCCAGTGGCAGCTGACTCTCCTGTCACCAATGGAGATGTCCATGCACACCTCCACCAAGCCAGCACTGATCAGCAGGCTCTGTGTGCAAGGAATGGACAGGCAGCAGCAGTGGGCTCATTTCCCCTGGCAACACAGGACGCGTCCATCGAGCAGCCGTGCAGTAGGGGACATCAAGAGGTGGGAGCGTTAGACACACCCACTGAGAACAGAGAAGAGTTACTCCTCAAGGCTGGAGATCCTCATGAGGCCTACGTGAGTGTTGACACCAAGCATTACCTCCAACCAACAGATGACACTGGAGGTGGAGATGAGGGTGGAGGAGGTGGTGGAGGAGCCAGAGCAGAAAATGAAATTATATGTAACGGTGTGAGCTTGTCAGGCGCCAGCAGTTCAGTGGGGGTCAGTTCTCAGCCAATAACCACACGTGCAAACATTGAGGGGGCGCTCTACAGCTCCCCACTCCCTCAGCAAAATGGAGTGGTGGCTGCCACATCAGCTGGGACGGGAGCAGCTATCAGTCTGGAAGGATTTGAGGCGTCATTTGGAAGCCAGTTCTCCGATCTCATCAATGATTTCATCTCAGTGGAAGGGTCTGGGGGTGGGGTGGGGGCAGCAGTCTCTGGGGTTTTGATGCCCCAGGAGGGGGCAGCAGGAGAGGAGCAGGGTTCTGGTGCCGGCCACTTGCAGGGCTCGGAGGTGGAGCACGGAGCACTGGGACTGCTCCAGGAGACTGGCAGACTGTTTGGTGTGACAGACTACTCCCCCGAGTGGTCCTATCCAGAGGTGAGTAACTTGTAATCATTATTTACTCATCACTGCTCCTCCCAGGAAAATTAGTTCATGCACCTCATGATTGATGGCAGCCAGTGCTGATAACCACTGAATTCACACTTAGCCCAGTTTGTACATACATGCTGGTTACAGTATGTGGTCATTAAAGAGGCCAAATATTTCACACTCAGCTGATTGGGTTTTAATATAATTTCTATATTTCCCTGATTCCCCTGGGTGGCCTCATTATTTTACTCATTTAGCATTTCTAACAGCCCAGACAGCAGTTTTGTCACTGAGTTATGATGAAACTTGAGAGAACCTTGCATCTTTTACCACCATCATTAAAAAAAACTGTCACATGGGGCTTGTAATAACTCAGTTTGACTCACATTTTACTGCAGCTTTACTGCTGAAGATTACATCATTTCAGTTTAGTGAAACTTAAAACAGAGAGAGATTTCTTCACAGACCACCAAGTAATCCCATAGTTTGTAAAATGAGCTAAACAGCAAAGAGAAAATCCTTTCTTCTAGTGTTCTGGTGACCTCAGACATTAACATTGCATTCTGTTCATTTCTCATTATATTACTTGTTTTTGTGAACTCATGATGCTGTGATTCAGACACATCAAATTTATTTACTCAGCCTCTTGGCTACGCTACCAGCTTATAATTTTAGTTAATTCAGATTTTACTTCAGTCAAATATTCAGGCACCTGCGTCCATAATTTATATCTTATCCCTAGACTGAATTTGAATAAAAACACATTTTAAGATGTTTTTTACACAACAATACTGTCATGCTGATGTAATGGGTAGAACTATATGCTGCATATATTGCTCTGTGATCAGCTGCTTAGGATCATGGGTAATGCCCAGGATGTCCAGGAGGGGGCGCACACGGCCAGTTTCTCCATTCTACATACTGTAGGTGAAGGACACAAACATCCATCCATCCAGCCATCCAGTATCTTTACCCGCTTATTCCATTTTGGGTCACGGGGTCGCAGGTGCCCATGTCCAGCAATCACTGTGCGAGGGGCGGGGTACACCCTGGACGGGTCGCAAGTCCATCACAGGGCCACATAGAGACAAACGAGACAAACATTCACTTTCTCACTCACACCTAGGGACAATTTAGAGTTACCAATCAGCCTAACATGCATGTTTTTGGTCTGTGGGAGGAAACCGGAGCATCCGGAGAAAACCCACGCATTCACGGAGAGAACATGCGAACTCCACCCAGAAAGGCTCCTGGACCGGGGTTTGAACCAGGGACCTGCTCGCTGAGAGGCAGCAGCTCTAAGTTGCGCCACCGTGCTGCCTCACAAACACACAGTGATCCTTAAAGATTTGAAGCTAGTTTAGTTTCTGACGACCTGAGATTGTAGTATGCATGCGGAAATTTGTCTCATTTTTACATTCACGTTGTCGTTGTGTGCATAATCATATTTTCATATATTCAACTTTGTTTTGTGTTAGTAACCTGGAGCTTTTATTTGTGGTCCTCAGGGTGGAGTGAAGGTGCTGATCACAGGTCCGTGGTTGGAGTCAAGTAGTGAATACAGCTGTCTGTTCGACCACATAAGTGTGCCCGCTGCTCTAATCCAGCCCGGCGTGCTGCGCTGCTACTGCCCAGGTAGCACACCTGATCAGACAAGTCCAGAAATATCAAAGCTAACCCTGATTGCTTTTTTTGTATAAAATCTAAGAAGGTTGCCCAGTTGTAAATGCCTGCTATGCTTCTGATGCATCTTTTGTGTTGTAGAACTGTTTGGACTCGAGCACCTGGATCAGTTTTAATAAATACAAACAAGCTTAGAAATGTCTAGATCAAATACCAGTGATGTAGCAGCACTGTAAAATAGTATAACATACTAGGTTTTAATCGTAGTATATGTTTTTAATTTATAAAATAATTTAATTGTGGTAATGACTGTGTTCCAGAGGTAGGTAGTGAAATTATTTTAAAGTCCATCTCCAACAAGAGCAACAATTACTGACGACTATAGATCAACAAGGTACAAAACGTAATTTGGACCTTGTTCCTTTTTGTTCAAAGGTCATCAGATTTGGAATAGATTGAAGTGTACATAATAATGTGAACTGGAAAAGCTGCAAAGTAACACTCCGTATTTACAGTACTGTATTTTTCGGCCTATAAGTCATGTTTTTTTTGCATAATTTACATGACCTGCGATTTATAGGCCGAAGAGACGTATTTATGGATTTTTTCCCATATTTATAAACCAATTTTTGGCTGAGATATAACTTTTCGTTCATTCCGACTGAAAAAATTGAATGCTACCATTTTCAGTCACTAGATGGCACTCAAGTAGTGGAGCATGCCGTTGTATCATGTAATAGGTAAAAGTGGCTATTAATGACACAATCGGCTTGCCTTAGCCTGCCACCGTTGTCTGCCTGCAGGAACTGAATCAGCTTCATTTTGCTGAGACGCCCCAGCGAAACAAAGCTGATTTGACGGTCAAAGTGCATTTATTAAGTAAAAGTTCAACTGAGACACACCTTTACTATAAAGCTGAGCAAACAAATAATTGTTTTTAGGCGTTTATCTTATTAAATTTCGAAGAAATGGACCAAGTCACCCTCTGCGCGCACCCGCTTCTGCAAATCGGGTTTTGAAATGCAGTTGATTTGACCATTAAAGTGCATTTTTTAAGCAAAATTTATACTGAGACACATATTTACTATAATTTCCAGCAAACAAATAATTGTTTTTAAGTGTTAATCTTGTTAAATTCTTGTTAAAGTCCTCCCGTGCACACTCCCGCAGCCACCATTTGGCAGCCAATCGATTTTTGGCACAATACTGGCCCACATTTCCAGGTTGTCAGCGGTGATGCATAACAGATGCAACGTATATGGCGAAGTAACGTATCGCTCCTCATCCAAGGAGCTTTCTCAATTCAAAGAGCAGTGAGTGAGGGATCCAGACTCTCCAAACATGTGGATATCCTAACTGGGCTTTTGTCAAGTCAGCGAGGAAATCTACAAAACACACTAATAAACAGAAAAAGGAGAACAGACGTAAAAACATTGTCATCCCTTATGTTGCTGGAGTATCAGAGAAATTCAGAAGGATCTTCAACAAACACAAGATCCCAGTACATTTCAAACCCAGCAGGACTCTCAGACAGAGGCTGGTCCACCCTAAGGACAAAACACATACACAAACAGAGTGGTGTAGTGTATGCGGTCCAGTGCAGCGAGGACTGTCCAGACCTCTACATTGGAGAAACTAAACAGCCTCTTCACAGACGCATGACTCAACACAGGAGAGCCACCTCCTCTGGACAAGATTCAGCTGTTCACCTCCACCTCACAGAGAAGGGACACATTTGAGGTTTGGACCAAGAACACAGATGGTTTGAGAGGGGGGTGAAGGAAGCAATTTATGTTAAAAGAGAAAAACCGTCTCTTAACAGAGGAGAAGGCCTCAGATTTCCACTTTCAAAAACCTATAATGCAACTTTAAGACAGATTCCCAGCCAGTTTTCACACCTGATGAGAACAGAGGGGCCTTGTCTGTGAATTAGAGTAACAAAGACTTTAAGAAACCCCTACTGTTAAGGTGTTTAGGTGTGACTTGTCAAATCTACATGTGTGTGTGTGTCTTATCTCACTCAGCCTTATAACCTGAATCTCTCACTCACTGATCTTTGAATTGAAAAAGCTCCTCGAATGAGGAGCGAAACGTCTTCTGTTACAAATAAAGTCCAGTTGTTTTTGTATTGAACGCTTTTTGAATTCATCATGTCCTGGATGACTGAGAATCTTCACCGGCGAAGTAACGTATTTATGGATTTTTCCACTACATATTTGGACTGATGCAACTTATAGGGCGGTGTGACGTGTACGGCGGAAAATACCGTATATAAAGTGGTCAGATCATTTTCTGAAGTTATTTTTTATTACCTGTAACTTTGCCAAGAGATTATTGATTACACACACAACTTTTTAACACACATCCTTCACCTGACACCTGTCTGTTCCAGCCCATGACACAGGACTAGTGATGCTACAGGTGGCCATGGGCGGTGAGGTCATCTCTTCTTCTGTGGTGTTTGAGTATAAAGCACGCGACCTTCCAGCTCTGCCGTCTTCTCAGCATGACTGGTTGTCTCTGGATGGTAGGAGTTATAAATTACATTAGTTTTGTAATAATCATGTAAGTGGGTGTGATCACTGTCATCATAGGACCATTTCAAGCATGCGTTCATCTCATCACTCTGAATGTGTCGGTTCTGTTTCTGAATGAGAAGTCCATTCAGTTTCATGTTGAAGGAACAACTGCTCTTTAGACAAGTTGTTTACATAATGTTCAAATTTCATATAACAGATCGTCAAGCAAATGAAGATTTTTATCTTAAGACTACTTTTTAAAAGACGTGTGCAAATTACACCATTTAACAAGAGAAATTGCATTTCCTGCGACAATGTAGTGCCAATTCTTATTGCAGAAGAACTTGCTGCTGAGATTAGTTAGAAACTTGCTGAAATGAAACTGAACAGCAAGAACAAGCTTGAGTTTTTTCATTCGACCTTTATTTAGACATGTTAGTCTCACTGAGCCTCGAGGACTCATTTACAAGAGTTTTTAACAAAGAATGATGACAACAGTAGACAACAATGACAACAGCAGGCAGTCATTAAAGAAAGCTTATAAAATGAGAAAATAAATGAAAGAAAATTATGTTAAAAATGAAACAATGACAGCTACATTGTAAAACAATGTAGAATACTAAATACAGGGATAGGGTTAGCAAAAGAAAGCAGAAAGAGCACGTTTTTGCTGAACTAGGGTTAAATAAGCCGAAAAGAGCACAAAAATGAGTCACTGAGCTTTAAAAAAAAAAGCTGAAATTAGCAAAAGAAGTTAGAAGAAGCACAAAAATGGCACAGCTATCAAAAATAATCTGAAAGGAGCACAAAACAGCTGAAAAAACAAATGACGTTAATTGTAAGTGCTGAAAAAAGTTTAAATTTGCACAAAGAAGCTGAAAGAAGCTGAACCAGAGCAAAATGTGAAAGGAGCAGTAAAAGGGTGTAAACAGATCTAAAGTTTTGAAGGATGTAAAATGAGTTCAATTCATTTTCTATGAAAAAAAAAAATGGCAGAAAAGGTTAAATATTTTAAAAAGCTAAAGTTGCACCAAAACTCAAAGTCATAGCAGGACTGTCCTGAAAGAGCTGAACGTTTCGATATACTATAATTTGTTGAAATAGTTGAAAATTGTGGGAAGAGAATTGTACCAAAAAATATATGAAAGAAAAAAGGATCACAATAATGTGAATGCTTCATAAACATTCACACAATAAAAAGGAAAAAAACAAAAACTGCCCAAACCGTTTGACTTCATAGACTTCAAGTCAATTCTTAATTTTTTTAATTTTTACATACTAAAAACTAAACTAAACTAAATGAACTAAATGAAAAGTACAAACAACACAAAAGGTTTGGCGCTGCACTTTATTGTCATTTGATGTCATGCTGCAGACTCAGCATTCTGTGAAACACACACATGCTGAATGGAGACTTCAGGTAATATAATTCAACTGAATGGAGGTTTTCATGAGCGTTGACTGAGAATAAGCTCTTTGCTGCTAGTCCAATAAAATTTACTTTTCCTATAATCTGTTCAATAGACTTACTGTGTAGGAAAACCATGTTTCTGATGTCTTCCGTCGTAGGTTATACAAGTGCAGCACTCTTTATGGGCAAATGAAAAATAACTTGCTGCTGGTGGATTGAGCCTCCTTCATTCTCCAGTTTCCCCAGTTTGCATTTCTAACTGTCTTTGAACATTGTACTGGAGTCTGGGTGGAGTCTGCTAAGTGGACATAATCTACTGTAAATTTTTAACATGTACATTCAGTCTGAAGATTCTGGTCTTATTAAACCTCACTTCATGTACTTTGCAGTGTCACATCTTTACAAATATTGCAAACATAACATACTGTACATGTTTCTCTAAGTTCCATGGGTATGAAGCATTGAGGTACATTAATATATTGTGCTGCAGACAATTTCTAAACCATCCCTATTTTGTAATACGTATTTTGCTTCCTATGAGACTGACTTTATTATGACATTTTAAAGTGATCCTGATCATTTTTTCTTCAACTGTTCTAAAAGTTTTTCAGTTATGTCGTTGCTTTTTTTTAACTCATTTTCAACTTTAGTACATTATCATGACAACATGTTGTGCAGTATGGGCTTTACAAAATGAGCAACGTGGACAAGTGGACAGTTAAAGCAGAATAGTCAGCTATAGGCAGCTGTGGCTGAGTGGTTAGAGCAGTCATCCTCCAATGCAAAGAGTTGGGGGTTCTAGAATTGCGCCGCTCAACGTGGCTGCATGTTGGAGCAGCTCTGTTACTTTCATTCTGAGATTTTGCTTTTGGAAACTTTAATTCCTCTTTTTCTGGATGTAAATCACATTTTTTGGATGATTGTTTCCTCTGGTATCAGATGCTGAGCAGCAGGAAGGATTTTTACTGAAACTTTTTTAGTTTAAGACATTTGTTATGATGCATAATCATGGAAACAAGGCAGTTTTCTACAACCAACAGCAGCTGATTAACATCTCAAAAGCTCAAATAATATCTCAACTACAGCCCCAAATCTCAAATGAGTTGAAAAGGATGTTCTGTGGACGCATTCTCATCTACCTGCCAGCTGTGCTCGAGTGCCTGACCACTGAGATCCTGGAACTAGCAGGAAACACGGCTCATGACCGCGAAAGGACAGGATCGTCTCTCAGCACCTACAGTTGGTTGTCCGCAGTGACGAGGAGCTTGGCAGACTGCTGGTATGAGTTCTGCCCGGCATTCGGGCGGTCCTACAGCCCGGGGGAATCGAGAGGCCAGCCGAGTCTGGGTGGACGGATCGGACGGCATCTGCAGCCAGTTTCTTAGGATCCACTGTGGGATGGACCTTTACAAGAGATCCTTCCTGCGTACAGCCATCAGCATCTATAACATCTCTTAATGAAATGAGGATAACGAGTTACAACAACAAATATTTTCCCTTTGGGATTAAAAAAGTATTTTTGAATTTGAATCCACCAGCAGTCACATGCTAAAGTGTCCCTGGGCAAGACACTGAACCCCTCATTGCCTCCGATGTGTGTCCCATTGGTGTATGAATGTGATCTAAAGCACTGATTAGTCTCATTAGAATGATTTGTTCAATTAACTTTGTAGAGATCTAGTAGAGTGTTGTATGAATGGGTAAATGAGGACACAGAAACATTGTAGTGTAAAGCACTTTGAGTGTCTTCATAAGATAGAAAGGCACTATATAAGTACAGTCCATTTACCACCCATTTTACCATAAAGCATCTACCTCTAGCAGATGAAGAGTATTTTAAAGTCAAGTCTTCACAAAACAGAAAAAAATCCTGCAAAGACATGGCAAGGACATGAGAGATGCATCACCCTTCAGAACTGTATGGTAGTTTTCAGCTAATAGCTGCTTGAGAGTCTCCTTGTTAGTGTAAAAAATATTTTAGTTGTCAGATTGCTATCTTTGGTATTTTTCATGGATTCAACTAAAGGGTTGGGGATAAATTGTGTGTTTGTGTCAGATTTCTGACAACAGTGTATGAAGATTCAATTAGAATTTGTTTTTTGTTAAGTTGTCAACGCAACACTGGTTCATCCCTTGAGTTTAGGGGCCTTTTTGTACCTGAATGATGTCAAAGTTAAAAAGAAAGTTCAGATCTTTTGAAATGACGTTGTGTAGAAAGGTTATGAACATTTAACATCTTACCTGTTGTAGATATCTCATTGATTGACCTCAGATCAGAAAACTAGAGTTTATTTCTGATCAGGCTGATGAGCTAAACATTAGGCTGTGTGTGGACTGCTACAGTCTTAAAGTAACTCGAGTCTGAAAAAGCTCATTCTCATCCCAATACAAGTGATAAACATTTACATTGCTGTCATTTTGGCATAACACAATTATTTACACATAATTCTGTGGTTATTTACAAACAAAAATATTTGCAGCACCAGCTAGCTGTAGTACTTTCAGTGCAATATGGAGCACTTCGAGCAAGAAAATCTTAATATTTCAGATGGAATAAACATTTATTGTAAAAACGACAGCTGTGGAAAGCTTTATAAAGCAATGTTTTGCTTGAATCACCTTGAAATGTTTGAGATGAGAGTTGTTTTAAGATTGTACAAATCTGCTTTGGTCTTGACAAACTCAAACTAGTTGTTAGCTCGTCAATCTGGGTGAAATTGAATTTAAGTTCACCAAATAGTGGTCATTCAAAGAGCTATCCAAAGAAGGTAAGATACTGGTTATTCAAAACTTTGCCACTGACCTTCACTTTAAATTCAGATCTGGACTTTCTCTTTAAGTAGCTTAACAAACAAACACACATTCCTCTGAAAATAATCAGGACTAAAAATTAAAGAAAAAGTTGTCAAAATCCAAAGAAAAACTTTAAAAGAAAGCCTGAAGAAATATTGACTAAGATCACTTTAAAGTATTACAAAACAGTCTGGCTCCCTGGAAGGGAAAAATAAAGAAATGTGGAATGACTCTTTTGTACAGTAAATTAATGCTACAACTTATTTGAAGGACTTGTTGCTGTGAGTTTGTATTTTTTAGCTGGTCTCAGTGGTTGTTTCTTACATTAGAATGACATGACTCCAGTCAGTCATTTTATATAATTTCTGCTGATGATTGACCTGATGGAGACACCTTTTTCTACATTTGTATTTTGTTATCTTCTGCCTGCATGCAAATTGATTTTTAATCTAAGATAAGATGCTAAGGTGGTTTGAAACCTGATGTTAACTAGTTGGTTATTTACTAGTCAAGTGTTTTCAGACCAGCTTTAATTATGAAGCCCAGTCAGCGTACTGAAAGAACTGTAAAGTTTTTCTTGAGCCAATTAGAGGACGATGAAAAGATCTTTCAGTCAACTTTTGAAGGCACAGTTATTGAAAGCTGAGAACAGATGTTTTGTCCCATGCTGCGTTACCCAAACATCCCATGAACCCAACTGATCTACAACTACAACTGATCAACTTTTATTTAATTGACATAAGAAAACACAAAAACAGCTATAATTCCATCTATCCATCCATCCATCCATTTTCTTCTGCTTAT